CACTGCGGAAGGTGCGAAAGAGTGCAGAGGAGCAGCAGGTGAATATGCGGAGGTTGGTTCAGACACGAGAGGACCTTGTTCAGAAAACGGAGAAGCTTCATAACTCCATTGAAGAGCAGCTGCTTGTGCTGGAGACGGAGGAAAAGGAGTTGCACTTGCAGGAGCTGCGACTCAAGAAAACAATCCCGGAGAAGACAGAGCTGATTGTGAATAACTCTCGCACGGAGAATGAGCGTGTGGCGATGGAGGGAAACAAAGTGGAGGAAGAAGGGAAACGGCACAACTTGGCCCTACAACTAGACCAGCTCTTATGCGAAAACGAGCTGCTTCGCAAGACCGTCTTTGAGCTGGAGCAAAGTCAGGCAAAGATACTCGATCATGGTCAGCATATGGCGCTGCAATACCACCAAACAGTTGAGCAGACAAGAAAGTACTGCGATAAAGCGCGTCTACTGCAACAGCAACTCACTGATAATGAGAAACGACATAAAGTGCAGCAGGATTTGCTTGACCGCGTCTCGGCAGACCGAGCACGTACTGAAAAGCAACTTAAAGAGAGCGAGATGGAGTGGTCTATGCTTAGACAGCGGTATGCAACCAACGACGAGGAAATTCAGTTACTTAAGATGCAGCTTGTCGCGAAGGAGGGAGCACTTTGCCGTCTCCATATGGTCCGTCGGCAACTACAGCGGGACATTTCCAACGCCGAGCAGCGGGCAAGTCATTTGAAGGACGATGTCCTTAACGCCCACTCACGTCGTGAAGCACTGGAGACCGAGGCGCACCAACTTACTCATCTCATTTCAGAGTGTGATGCGGAGAAAAGCAAGTACCAATCCAAATTTGCGGCACTTGTCAATGAACGGAATGTTCTTGCCACGCAGTTAATCCGCCGCAATGAAGAACTTAGGCTTCTTTACAGTAAGATTCGTCTTCAAGAAAGCGCTCTTGAAAAGGGCGCTAGTGAATACGATCGGCAGGTGCGGAATATCATAAATACCCGTGATAGACTTGCTGAGCTGCGGCTGCGATGTCGTCTTGCTCTTGTGCGTCTTCGCTATTCCGAGAAACTGCGGAACCGGAAGCAGAGTATTGAGCAAGAACTGTTTACTGAACAGCAACGGTGCCGAGCGCTTGTAGACGAGCTCCAACGTCCAGTTCATGTCCATCGTTGGCGGCGACTGGAAGGTGATGCCCCGGAGGTGCTTGATGGCATCTACAAGGCACAGGATCTTGAGCGACAGATTTTAAAGAAGCACGACATGCTTGCTGATAAAACACAGCTGCTGGCAAAGCGCACGGCGGAGTATGATGCTATTCGACGGAAGCTTGCCTCTTTGCCGGGCCCGGAATTGGCTGAAGATTTGAGCCTCTACAAGGAAAATTTAGAGCGGCGTGAAGAACAGATCGAAGGGATGAACGCAGAGCTTCAAGAAGTTGAGCAGCATGCCGACGTGCTCAAGGAGGAGGTAAGGCAGCTTTTATTGGAATTAGGTGATGCGAAACGGCGTTACTTTGGCGCAAAACACAAGAACGACCTTTTGCGTCGTGAACAGGCCGTGTTTCGTTCAACATGGGGGGAATCTTCGGCAATTGCAAATATCGCTCTTGCAGCGGCCTCTGCCCATCAACAACAACAACGACTTGCCGGAAGTGGTGGTGGCGGCAGTGGCAAAGACAGTAGCAACCAGCAGGGTGTATGGCTAGAGCGTCCGGTTGGAGCACGACGCCCTTGTTTGTGGCACACGCGAACACAAATGCGTAGGGAACGCATGTTGCAGGAAGCGCGCCTCGTTCAGGCGCTTTCCTCCGGTGCACCCGCCCCCAACTACCCACTGCAGTTCCGTCCACAACAGCGGCAGTTTGTTGGTGGAGGTTTTGCGCTTACGCGGTGAAACAAGGTATATGCTTTTACTGCAAGACATGTAAAGGATGTGCTTATATGTGAGGGAGAGAGAAGGAGAACGATGGTGCTGAGGAAAGAAAAAAAAAAACGGCAGTATCCTTTATCCCTACGTATAACCAGAGAAACGATATGTTATTTTTATTGGGGTTTTATTCCCTTACTTTATACGTGGGATCAGAAGATTTGAAGTTTATTTTTCTCTTTTTTCTTGGCGTTAGAAGTTTTTGGAGGGAACAGAAATGTAGAGAGTCTTTCTGGTGAATCTGAACACCACGTCTCCTCCAGTATTGTTACAAGTAATAATGGACACTACAACTGCGTTGTCTTTTTCTTCCCACTTTTTTTTTTTTGATTGACTTTAAAATGCGATCTTACCGACTCTACTCCCCCTTTTTTTATATATTGCTTGGCCATGTTTGTTAAAATGAAAGGGTCGGAGATGCAGAAGGCTTTTGGACTGGGTGCTGCTGCTGCTTCTGCTCTTTCTGGCGGTAGCAGTGGTGCTTGTAGTAACGGCAAAGGTGATGATGTTTCCCACGCGTTCGGGGTGTTTCAGAACGCACACATCAATTCGTTTCCTGTGCGTGCGGCGATAGACATTGGGACGGGTGGCATGATTTCCATGGCAGTTGGACGCGTTGACGCAGCGCGCAATGCCGTGCGCGACTTCATGTACCAGACGACGCTGCCGCTTCACCTCATGTCAGCCAACGCCGAGTCTTCCTCGGGTCCGTTTGTTCTCTCCTCCCGTACATTTGAAACGCCTCCTTCCTCTTTTATTCTCAGCGAAAAGACACGGACAGACATTCGAAACAAAATGCGTATGCTACATGGGGCATTGCGTCGTGATCAATACGATGGTCTGAGTGAACGGGCTGCTGTGGTCTCGTGGCCGCTGTGCGAAGCCGCGGACGCCCTGTCTTTAGCAGAAGAACTAACACGTGAGTTCAAGGTGGACGTCCGCGTATTGGGAAAGACGTTTCATGTGAGCACTTTATGCCATACTTCAAAGCCCTTGTTTGGAACCGAGGGGGCGGCGACTCTTCTCCGCAAAAAAGGGGTGAAGGATCGCGCCTTTCAAAAAGATCACAGAAATACTGATGATGACAGCTTGCAGTTGCTTATGCAACAAATTGTTCGTAGACGGGAGAAGCGGCGTGCGCGACACTGCAGCACAGAAAATCAGGATTGCCATCATGTGAATATCGATGAACACTGCGCAGTGCTTCCAAGGCAACAACTGGAACAGCTGGCTTTCCTTGCGCACGCTGCAGTGAGCAAGTGCATTGCTCCCCAACGCATGCTTGTTATCACGGAGGATCGCCATAAAGGCCTCTGTATTCTTGCTGCGGACACAACAAAGGAGGATGTGACGGACAAAGAGGGCAAAAAAGCTGTGGTGTTACGCAATACCCCGATATCGGGTGGCCTGCTGTTACATGTTCTACCATTTGATATCCTCGCGGCCCAGCGTCTGTTGCTCACAGCAGTGCAGCGTCGTGCAGATTTATCGGAAAACACCGAAGACCGACGCAGTTCCAATCCTGTTCTTCGTGAGGAGTTTAGAGAACTGCGATGCTTGCTGGAGAAAATGATAGCCCCAACTTTACCAGCATGGGTACATGAGAAGTCTGGCGCTGGTGGTCTCATTTGTGGCTCAAGCTTCAACGGAGGTGTACTTAACATCGCTGCACGGGTGGCACAGAGAACAAATGTTTCACTTGACCACCTTGAAACAAATGCGGAGATGCATTACTGTGGTCTTACAGATGTGTTACTAGCGGTAAATTACCCAGACCCAACGACTGTATTGCCGAGTGCCGCCTTTGCCAGTGCGTTAATGCGAGCACTCGAGACGAACCGCTTTGAGTACTTACCGGAAGTGGGCATTGCCGCCGCGTTGTTAGTTCAGCCCTCTTTATGGATATACGATCGGCGTGAGAAGGTGAGGACGACACTGCAAAAGAAAAAGTTCTTCAGCGGCTCTAGTGCACAACGTACATTTCGTCGGCCGCACGCTAGAGAAAACCCTTCTGCATCGCCAGAGGCATCATGGCAACTTAACCAATCGTGGAATCCGTTGTCGTACGCAAACAGCACGAAGGGGACATGACGGGTGAGACTGAGACGGGGGGCGGCAAGGAAATATGACGCACAGTTTTTTAGAGGAAAATGAAAGATGACGGGCGTATACGCCGAGGAGAGAGTTTGTCCCTTAATAATTCTAGCAGCATATTGGCTTTTTGTTGCGTTACTTCTTTCCTACACACACTGTTGTTGTTGTTTTTGTACCTTTTAATCATTTTTTATCCAGTGGTTTGTTTCCTTTCATTTATCTACTTTTACTACTTTTCACATTATTATCATTTATTTTTATTTATTTATTTTTTTTTTTTTGCGTGTGGGCCTCCTGAATTGTTAGAAGTGAAGATAAAGGAAAGGGCACATGTCTTTCCCATTGATTGGGGCCTTCTTGTTGCTGCTGCTTCTTCTATGTTTTGTGGGTGTTTTCATTTGCCGTCGACAGGTAGTGCCAACTCGCGTGAGCTCGCGTGGGTCAACGCGGACGTCACTGGCACACAAAGGAAGTGAGGCTGACACGGAGGATGATGGAGACGGTGAAAGTATGACTGCGCGTCATGGGCCGCCAAACCCACAGGAGGTTGCTGCGTTGTTGCGCCGCCGCCAGGTGCAACGGGCACAGGGACGTGGTGACTGCGCTCCAGATGACGGGGCGGCTACACCACAACCAAAACTCACGCGGCTGCAAAAGAAGAAACAGGAAAAGGACCGTGAACGAGAGGAGCGGCGCCAGGCACAGGAGGCGGCCGAGAGCAATCGACGCACCAGGCAAGAGGCGGAGCGACAGCGACAGGAAGACCACCAGCGCGACGAGGAGGAGCGTCTGCTTGCAGAAGAGAAGGCGCTTCAGGAGTTACGCGACGAGAAGAAGCGACAAGATGATGAGGAATACGCCAAGTGGATAGGCGCCATTGGTTTAGAGGAAAGTGGTGAGATTGGGGATGAGGAAAGGGTGCGGCAAGAGGCATTACTCGCGTTCTTGACGAGGCGAGCGAGGGAAGTGGAGGCGCGTCAAGAAAACCAAACGGAACAGTTGTTACAGTCTGCATCTCCAACGGCTACTGCAAAAGATGAAGAGTCCTCGCGAAGTATTCTGGTGCTGAGTAGCGTAGCACGAGAGTACAACGTCACGGTGGAATTGTTGGTGAAACTCATCGAAAAGTTGCTTAATGACGGAGTTATTGGAGGGGTATTCGATGATCGGGGAAAGTTTATTTTTGTGGCCGAAGCGCATTATCGTGAAATAGCTCTGTTCATTCAACAGCGCGGCCGTGTGTCCGTGAAGGAGCTCGTCAGGGAGTGCAACCGAGTGATTTTGTCGTGACGCGTGGTAAAGGAAGGATTAGTGGCTCTCATTTCTCTTTTTATCCTAGTATGCTCTTTTGTTTTCTTTCACAACGTTGGGTGTCTCCTACCCCTTCCTCCCAGGTGCGAGTCCCCACTTTATTTGGCTTGCTTTTATTTTACACATTTGTTTTTTTTTTTTTTTTTTTTTTTTTTTGCGTTCCCTTTTGTTCTTTGTGGCTTAATTGCATTCTTACAAGGGGGGGAACAACACATACATAAAGGGAGCGGAAGGGAAAAAGGCATTCCCCACAGTTGCTATATACATATATATATAGCATCGGGGAGGCGGACAGTCATACAGGAGTGCTAGCAGGGCTCTTTGTTTGTTTGTTTGTTTCTCGAGGATCTTTTCTTCTTTGTTGCGGTGCGTACTTTTGGCTGTCCCTCACTCTATTGCAGTGACACTGTGACGACGGAACACAATTTTACGCCGAGTTCCCGCTATAAATTCACCGCGTTTGATGGATACAAGGAACCAAAGTAGGTTGGGAGTTATACGGAAGGAAGAGGACGTTGCAGCCGCCGTGGAGGCCGCTGCCCCCCAGACGATCCAAAACGGCCAACAAGGCAACAACGAGGTGAAGTCGAGGATGACCCGGAATTTATTGGCTTGCTCGAACAGCGCGTCAGAAGGAGAGATTTGCGAAAAAATGTCTGCTGGTAAGAATGGGCCTGTCGAGCCGGGGCTTTCTGACGGCGCACGTTTCTCAGTGCCCTTAAAAAAGAAGGGGGATTTTTGTAACGAACCTGCATTAGTGGCACAAGAGGCAGGATCGCCGGAGTTTTTTATAAACGTTGCCCATACACGGCAACTGCCGCGAGAGATGCAAAGGGGAGAAGTGCGACGTCCGCTGGAACAGCCTGTATTGCAGCCCGCAGAAAACGTGGCGGCCAACAACGGATGCAGTGAAGCTTATAGATACCAAAATGGTTCCCAACGATTGGACAAGGTCTCGCCAGAATCTTCCAAAATGTGCAGTAAACCCACCGTAAATGTTGTCTCAGAATGTAAAGGGGGCTCCCGTATTCTTGACACGCCTGTGGTTCAGACCTTGCCGGCTTTCTTCAATTGTCTACCTGGTGCCATGAGCAAAAACACCATTCAAGAATCGAATGGCAAAAACGGCTTCCACTCAGCCGCCGTCTTTCAGCATGACTCGGAAGATGCCGCAAGGCGTGTCGTTGTGACCGATGGAAACAGGAATGCAACTCAATCGGCGTATTCGACGGAGGTCTTGCAAGGTGATTTACCATCTTCTATAATTTTTGAACTACAGCGCTTGAAACATCGTAGGAATTCAAGAACTCTTCCTGAATCACTTGACCCTGCAATCAACGCGAAGACACCCAGCCCAATGCCAGTGACACTGGTTGGAGCAGGGAATCACCACCGGCGGAAACACATAAAATTGGTGAGCTCTTACATTCTTGGTCCTCTCCTTGGGGAAGGCGTGTTTGGTGTTGTTCGTGACGCCATTGACACCTCCGCCAATGGTGTCTTCCCTCCGCGTTTTCAGCGCGTTGCAATTAAAAGTTACAAGTATCGCCGGCCTGCTGCGCCAGGACCTGATCCAATATATGACCCTGTGGCGAGTTTCCCTCCCGCTGTTTCCTTTTCAAAAAATGTTACATGTACGCCTATTTCTGATTTAAAAAACCATCATAGTTCAAAGATCCAGCGGATGTTAGAAAACGAAGTTTGTAACCTGCAGCGGTTTCATTGTCCTAATATTATTCGTGGTATTGACATTTTTAGACGGTATGGGAGGGATTATGTTGTTCTTCCCATCGCTATATGCAATCTGGATCAATTGGTGAAGGAAACCGTACAATATGAACTCCGCCAAAGACAACTTCAGTCGAACGCCGGGGCATCTTTTCTTTCTGGTCAAGGGAGCATCTTGCCGGATAATAAATCGGGCTCTGAGATGATAATCGATCTTTCGTGTGCAAGTTACATAAGCGCGGGTGAAACTGAGATGAACTTACTTAGCTCTACACTGGGTGACAGCGTGTTTCCCCTTTTTTCTGCCGATTTTGTGAGAGGTGTCATGTATCAGCTGCTGCATGGAGTTGCGTACCTGCACAATCAAGGCCTTGCACATAATGACTTAAAGCTACAAAATATTCTTCTTTTTGCCAACGGAGAATTGAAAATCTCAGACCTTGGTAGCGTCCTGGAAGAGTATAACGATCAGGGGACCCCGATGTATATTTCTCCAGAAGTCTGCAAATATTTTTACTGTGCTGAAGATGTTGAGGATGAAAAAAATATGGTTAAAGTTGACGCATTCAAGAATGACATGTGGAGCTGTGGCGTGATTCTTTACTATCTTCTTGTGGGGAGGCCACTCTGGGAATGTAAAATGGATGTCTGCAATAGGTATCAATTGTTTCGTGAGATTGCTTCGCAAACATCTCCAATTGATTTGGATTACGTCCCTGAACCAAGAGAAACAACTGAAACAACAACCATGATGATGGATGACTCGTTAGGGAAAGGCAACAACACGTCTGATAGCA